TGGAACACTGCGCGATTGACCTGAGACACGTGCCAGCGCCGGGATCTCAGACGCCGGGAGTTTGAGTCTGAGAGAGGTAGATACTGGCTAGAGCTTGGACTCAAGGAGGATGCAGGAGAAGATGCCAGTAGATAAAGTCTCTCACACACACTCGCAAACAGTCACACGTCACAGCCGCAGCCACGAGACTGGGAAAGAGAGATATCACTAACGCCCGCGTTCCCAGGCGCGTATTCATCATTTTCCCATTCTCGCATTCTCTCATCGAGAGAAAGAGAGCGAGAACGAGTGCGTTTGACGTAATTAGATACCAAGAGTGAGCCTACCAAACGCCTGAGACTGGCAAGGATAGTAGGGCGACGTCTCCGGCATAGTGGCGGACACACGCGACCTTTCAGAATCAGGCGCAGAAAGTGTGGCAAGGAGGAAAACTGGGCAACTGATAAAATACCAGCGACACGTGGGAGAAAAAGATGAACAAGAGATGAATTTCATTCTATGAGAAAAAACAAATGAAAAGAGAAAAATTCTCATCAAAAGCAATCTGACGAAAAGCAAGCAAAATATTCTCACAGTGGTAAAATGAAAAGAAAGCGATGGGACTTACTTTGATTGGTGTCGATCTCCTCCGAAAATCATCTGTTTACTATAGTTTTTAGCCAAATCACTTGAAGATGCGTTGTTGACATCCTAGTGGACCAATTAGTTTTGAAGAAGCAGGTAGATGAGAAGTTATCGAACTTTCAATAGATAACTTTAGTAAACTGGTTGACAAAATATGAGTAGCAACACCACTCTAAATAGAAGTGGAGAACAATGTACCAAAGTTCTAGAAACAATGTACCAAGTTTTCTACACACAATAATTCTAACCCGCGTCTTGAAGAGGCAAACCAAAACTGACAACGATAAAAAAAAAGTTTGAGATTTTGAAAACATGTTTTCATTCTCTGTGTTGCCACCTGTTGACGATTGTGCCAACTTTACAACTTTCAAATCAAATTATCTTAAAAGTGTTCAACTTTTAACAAGAAAAACGCCTTTAAAAAGTTCAAAAGATCAAAATATATTTAGCAAAAGTAAAAATCGCAGTATACTGTAAACAAATTATTTATAAACCCGAGTTGGTAATGTGTAAAAAAGGAAAAGACGATGAGAGGATATAAAAAGTGACAGTTACAAAACAATGTGTGATAGAAAGGAAAAGTCGTGAATGTTTACAAAGACGAAAATGAGAAGGAGAGACTGTACAGAAGTGAGATGAAAATGACGTGAAGTATAAATATCAATCAAATTGTGTAAGCAAAGCAGATGATAAGCAGGATTGATGAGAAAGAAAAAGAGGAAGAGAGATAAGTTCAGATGGTATCAAATAATGAGTAGAAAAGAAGAAAGTGTGGTCGATGAATAGATGAAAATGAATGACCATCAACTGAAATGGGTGTGCTTATGTACAATAATAAAAGGATGATCAGTAGGAAGCAGAGCTACGCATTACTGCTCTGCAGGGCGGAAAAGAGGCGAATGAGGTTGTCGAGGCCAGTGAGGTAGCCGTCCTCGTGGTTGCCCAGCGTCCACTGGTCTCGGTGGCTGATGCTGACACCGGCCGGAAGTGGGTACGTTTTCGCAAAGTCAATCAACCAAATGTCAGCGTGAGTGTCATCGTGAACGAAGAGCAGTGAGCTGCCGATCANTGGCTGATGCTGACACCGGCCGGAAGTGGGTACGTTTTCGCAAAGTCAATTAGCCAAATGTCAGCGTGAGTGTCATCGTGAACAAAGAGCAGTGAGCTGCCGATCATCTCGTGGCTGCGAAAGAACTCCGAACGGGCCATCGTCTCGCGAATCAACCGGAGCTTGTTGAGGTACTTTTCCTACAAAAAGAAAGAGAAAATGTTAGTAAAACTGCTGCACTCTGAATAATTTTGTTTTCAACTTACAATGCACTCCGGTTTCTCTTCGGCAAACTGCAGAATGGCCGAGCTGACCGACTGCTCCGTCTTGGTCCGCTTAAAGTCCTTATTCGTGCGGTTGTTTTCGCACTCGGCGGAGTTTCCGTTTCCAGCCGCGGCTGCCGCCGCCACCGCCGCCGCATTCTGTCTCAACTTGACGCCGTCAATGCGAAAGCCCAGTGTTGAGGTGCTGCTGATCGACTCCCGCCAGACCATGTACCGCGGCTTGGTGACCGCCCGCAGTGCGTGCTCCTCCTCGGTGGGCTCTCGCGGGTCAATGGCGACCATCTTCTCGTACATGTCTTTGCGCAGCTTTGGCTTCTCGCCCGCCTTAATCAGCTCCTCCTCGAGGTAGGTACGAATGCCCATCTTGATGTCCATGATGGAGGGATTGCTGAAGGAGGCCAGCAGGTCCTCCAGTTCAATGTAACCTGAGAAGGGTAAACAGTGGTGAGTATGCTGAATCAGTCAAAACTGTGTGAGCAAATGACTTACTCTCTCCATTCATGTGGACGACATTCTTAAAGTGCGGCACAAAGTGGCGCAGCTCATCCTCCATGAGCGCCTGGAAGCACTTGTCCTCATTGCCGCTCTTCTTCTTCAGTATAGTGCCCTGCATCTGACCGGCGAGGAAGTTTCCTAGTTAAGGAGAAAGAAGAATAAGAAAGATCAATTAGTTAATTTGCCAGTCAGTTGCCACACTTTGACAAGGATAGAAGAGTAACTGCTGCTAACGCTGTTGCGACCGTTTTTCCGAGAAAAAAGCTCAGGTGATGCTCCTAACATACAGCACTATCAGTGTCGGGGAAGTAGAACGAAAGGAGAGAAAAGGAAAAAATCAAAAGGAGCAGCCTTACCTTGATGACCAGCCAGCTGAATCCATGGGTACTTTTGCCGCTTGTAAGTTTGTATAAAGGGAGAAGTGACCAGTGAGCGCACCTTTCGCCAGGGTGACGTCTGTTGTAAAGAAGGGAAAGAAAAGAAAAGAAAACGTTAGTCACAATGGCGGTGATTATGGCGGCGGCGACGGCTATTATCAAGAGTAAAGACAATGTAGCACTAGTCAGTTTAAAGTAGTAATGCTCAAAAGTTGCGGCAAAAGAAAGAAAGAAAG